TTTTTTTTTTTTTTAAGAGACAGGGTATTGCTCTGCAACCCAGGCTAGAGTGCAGTGGCACATCACTGTAAATGTGAACTCCTGTCTCTGCCTTCTGAGTAGGTGGGACTACAGGCATGCACCACCATGCCCATTTATTTTTATTATTCATAGAGATAGGGTTTTACTGTCTTACCCCAGCTGGTTTTGAACTCCTGGCTTCAAGTGATCCTCTAGTCTCAACTTTTCAAAAGTGCTAGCATTATAGGCATGAGCCATCCTGCCCAACCAAACCTGAATCTTAAATACAAACATTTCACTTTCTGACCCCTATCTTTATGTTTTCAGCTCTTTTACCTAATAATTCCCTCTACTTCTCTTCATTTGCCTTCCAGGAGCCTCTCTACTTTATGCCCATTTATCAGCATCACATCCTGTTCTGATTTCCCACATAGTCATTAGAGTCCTTGGCCCATCCATTCAGATACTCAATAGCTTAGCTCCCATGGCATTCTAGATGCCTGCCAAATTCCTGTCCTGGATGAAGTCAATTCAGTTATTTCTGCATCTATATCATTTACTGAGTGCTACTTGAGAAAAATCACACAGCTAGGAACCACTCTAGCTACATATTTTAATGCCTAGTTGTATAGAGGTAGAACATGAATAAAACTCATTATAATAAACTAAAACAATACAGGTATGTATAGAATAAGAAGTTAGAATTCTCCTTCATCTTCCCTGGTAAAACCACCCCCCCCCAAACATCTGTTGTTAATAGTTCAGCCTATGTTCTATGCATGTGTTATTGTCTCAAATATAAATAGGTATACACACATACACATAAAACATTTATACAAATATGTTGTGTGAATTGATCGGGCCGGAGTCCCAGAGGTAAACTAGCAGTCAGAATGTCTTGGAAGAGAAGGTGGCTGCAGCTCTCTCAGGCATACAGCGACCCTAGTTTATTTCTTACTCACTTATATACCCTAACAATAAAGCATTCTGCACGTACACACATAATCTTAAAATTACAATACAATAAAGTCGCAAAAAGTCATGAGCCTAATTTATCTCTTTTTGCTTCAAAAAACAAAATATTCATCTGTAAAGAACAGAGATAATCTTTAAGTTAGCAGCACAATAACCTTATCTTGATTTACCACTACTCAGTTCTCTTCCAGGAAATTCCTAAGCACAGCACGCTCTGTTTTCAGTGCCTGCCTCCCACTAGATTTGTTTTTCTAATCTCTCCAGAGGGTCTTCAAAGGAATATCCCTTCCTGCAGACCTTGAGACAGTTTCAATCAAGAACAAAGTTATGGGCTCGGTGCCTATAGCTCAACTGGCTAAGGCGCCAGCCACGTACACCTAAGGTGGCAGGTTCGAATCCCCAGCCTGGACCCACCAAACAACGACGGCTGCAACCAAAAAATAGCCGGGCGTTGTGGCGGGCGCCTGTGGTCCCAGCTACTTGGGAGGCAGAGGCGGGAGATTCGCTTGAGCCCAGGAGTTGGAGGTTGCTGTGAGCTGTAATGCCACGGCACTCTACCCGGGGGGATAGCTTGAGGCTCTGTCTCAAAATAAATAAATAAATAAATAAAAATAAAAATAAAAAAATAAGAACAAAGTTATGGCAGCCTTTAATGTGGCTCAGCTACACAAATATATATGCATACATGTATACATGAAATTAGATAGAGCATAGTGGACACTTTGTTGGGCAACTTGTGCTTTTTCTTTTTTACTTGGAGGCATTCCTTCTCTGTAGGTACAGAAATACTTTATTGTACATATGTCATTCTCTTAGTCACATTTTACATTATTGACTACTTTAACTAGTAAACAATGTTATAATGAATATTCTTGTACATCCTTCTGAACACATGTGCACGCATATCTCTAAAGTACATCCTTAGACGTGGAAATGCTTGGTCAAATGGTGTATGTACTTAACATTTTAATAAATAACAGTACTTCTATGTTACCATCCAAAAAAGAGGGAGGCTGTGATATCAGAAGCCCTGTGAATTGCATAGGAGAGTTGCCACACCCAGCTGGGCTCTCTTCCTTCCTTCCCTGGACAGTTCTCTTCCTCATTCTATTCTCCACATAGTTTGTCTTTGCTTAAACCTCCTACTGCACCGCCACCCTCATCCCCACCCAAACACACATGCTTGGCAAATAACTCACCAATTATTTGTAGAGAAAATAGAAGTCAACGAGAACTTTATCAACTTCCTACCCACAAATCTGCAAAACCTACTTACTATCCACCACACTCTACCTTCCTTCCCTATTATAACAGAGGAGGTGGGCGGTCTTCCAAAGGCAATGGGTCCTTCGCTTCACAAAGCGCTGGCCACATTCTGCCTAAAGGTCTCAGCTCTGCTCTTTCCTCAGCTCACCTCCATTTCCGTTCTATCCTCATAGCTCCATTGAAATCCCAGGCTCACCTTAGGCAGCATCCACAGAAGGACTCCTTCGGGTCCTTATCTTAGGTGACTACTGCCCACTCCCTCCTTTAAAACACTTTTCACAGTGCCACCCTCTCCTGATTTTCCTTTTCTTGTCATCTCTGCCACTTCTTTCTCACTCCTCCGGTCCTCAGGTTCTTCTCATCCAAAGTTTAAAAGTCGTTAGAGTTTGGCATTTCCGCCCCGAACCCAGCGCTCTTTTTCTCTGGGAGATGTCCCCCACTCCTCGCTTTCTGCCACCATCACCCCTCTGTCTTCTCTCTGATCTTCACCTTCAGCCCAGACGGCCGACTAGTCCCAATTTGACTTCACCCTCTCCCACCCCGCCCCTCCTAACCTCCACTCCCCCACTGCTCCCAAGCCGAGCCCCTCCCTCTTCTAACCCCCCTCGGTCGTTCGGGGTCTGCCGCCGCGCGCCTCCAATACCTCGCAGACCTGAGGAATGTAGTTAGCCTTGAAGTAGTTTCTCAGCCGCGGGGTGGCGTTGCGAAGCGAGGCCATGGTCGGAGGCCTAGCCCACTCGCGCCGCTAATGCAGGAGGCTCCGCGCGGGAGTTGGGCGCGTCTGGGCGTTGTCCGGGCAACCAGAGGGTGGCGGTCCTCGCGCTTCCTGGCCACTAGCGTGAGGAGGGAGGCGGAGCCTCGAACTTCCCAGGCCGCTAGCTTGAGGAGGGAGGCGGAGCCTCGCGCTTCCCGGACCTCTAGCGTGAGGAGGGAGGCGGAGCCTCGCGCTTCCCGGGCCACTAGCGTGAGAAGGGAGGCGGAGCCTCGCGCTTCCCGACCTCTACCGTGGGGAAGGAGGCGGATCCTCGCGCTTCCCGGACCGCTAATGTGAGGAGGGAGGCGGAGCTTCGTGCACCGCCGGCCGGGCCTGACCAGTTGAGGCGGGAATCCTGGATCGGGCTGCGGGCTTTGTCTCGGCGCGAGGTGCACAGTCAGTATTGCACCTCCCGCGGGCCAGCTTCCCCTTCCCGCCTGGTGGAAGCCGCAGGGACGCGTCGGCCCGAGTAGAACATTTTAGGATTTTGGCTGGGTCCTTTCCGGGAGGCGGAGCTCGGATCCGCATTTCCTTTCTCCCGGGCCTGGTCCCAGTGGGCGGTGGCGAGACCTCAGTGCGTTGGAGACCCCGGCGCCGGCGCCTACGAGTCTCCCGCGCGGGCCTAGAGCTGCGCCCAGGCCTCGGTGGCAGCATGGGCGGCGCCCGGGACGTGGGCTGGGTGGCGGCGGGCCTGCTTCTTGCGGCCGGTGCCTGCTACTGCGTTTACAGGCTGACGCGAGGCCGACGGCGAGGCGGGCGCGGGCTCAGGCTGCGTCCCTCGCGGTCTGCAGGTGAGGCCGCCGGGTGCCCAGCACGGGGGCGGGGGCCCGAGAAGCGCGGGCGCTCATGGCTTAAAATGGGTAAAATGGGTAGCCAAGGGAGGCCCAGGCGGGGAGATCGGGTTGTTGTGTGGGTGTAGGGTCCTGAGCCGCCTCCCTGCCTACGCTTCTTTGTTCAAAATCCCGGGAAGAAAATTGCCTGAACGTTTCCTGCTTGAGTCTGGCGTCACAACGGAGGATAGGTTTCTCAAAAACCATGTTGATTGCCTCTCTCTCTAAAGCTTGCCTTGAACCTTTATGTTACCAAAGAGATTCCTCTCACTGTGGAAGGGCTGTTGCGGGGCCTGGCACGTAGATTTAAGTTCTGTGTGCAGATGCCCTGGAAGAAGGGACCCCAGAGGGGCAATTCTGCTAGCGCTCGCCCGGCCTCTGAGATGGGAGGGTAACTTGGAATTACCATGGTCCAGGATCTCGCAACTTGAGTTATGTATTGGTAATGCGAACAGTTGACTGCCACCCCGCTGGCCGACGAGTGCAAGAAGAGGCTTCTGTCCAAAAGTTAACTGGTACATTAAAACTCCAAAAGTGTTTAAACTGCTTAACAGTTTGCTGAATGTTCTGGGAGATATTTCAGGTGTTGGAAGCTGTTAGGGAAATAATTTAAAATAATCCTGCCATCAGGAAGCCCCTCTCCAAAACTATAGAAGAGAACTAAAGAGTTTTGTTGTTGAATAATCCACTAAACCAGATTGCCTCTCACGTCACAGGCAGTCTGCTAATGGGATGGGAGAAAGAATTCCAACCCCTTTATGTAGCTGAGCAGAGACATGCAATTTTATATTAGGTGGGTATTCGCAAGATAATCTGTCCTTAAGTATTATATAAGAGTACTTGACAGGCTTGGCGCCTGTACCCGGAGGAGGCTGGCAGGTTCAAAC